GAACAAGGCAGCGGGGAAGGGGCAGCCCATCCCGAGGAGGACGGAGGGTGCATCCGGTCCACGAGAGTGGCTCGCGGGGAAAAAGGCGTCTGGAAGAGTCATCTTCTCCCTCTCATTACTACGCCGGATACTCGTTTGTGTACGCAGGAGATCCTGCGTTTCCCCTTTGCGTCGAATGATCTATGCTTAGACACTGTGCAATGCTTCTCATCTAGGCGGATCGCGTCTAGCGGAGGTCTTGCGAATTGGCTAAATTTCTTTGTGATGCTAACACGAGAGAAGAACATCATTGTGAAAATGTGTTTACTCCGTTTCATCAGTTTCCCGATTTATTGTTGTAGCTGCTTCTTGGAATAAACTCGTGAACGCCTGAAGGGGGAAGGGTCGTGCAAATGTTGAAAGGGGGGGGGGGCTATAGCCTTACGTAATATAACATTTTATTTTTTTTATTAAATGTTCACCAGTTGCTGTTTTCTCCCATTTTTGACCAGGCAATTTATGGAATTGTTTTGTGACATCAGAGGGAGAGGCTCTCCAAAACTGTGGGCGGCAGCGCAAGACGCAGCGACCGTTGTGAGACCAAGACGTCGGCGTATCATTTCTTTGCTTTTCTGTTTTATAAAAAGGTCATAAATATAGTCTTGGTATTTAAAATTTGTTTGGATAATAAGCTTCGTTAAACCAGAGTCCCAATTCGCGAAAACGACAGTACTTCTTTCCACGGCCGCACTGTGGCCACTCGACGCCGCCCGCCCACACACAGCCGACACCTCGCGCGATCTGTTGCGGCGGTTCCGGCGGGGCGTTCTGATCTCTCGCACCCAGCGATTCCATCGCTCGGCGTCACTAAAGAGACACTTGGGTAGTGGACAATTTAAAAGCGATGTGAGAGATCATGTCGTGCGGACGTGAGCAGCATCGGTGCCTTGGTCTACTGGTGGAACAAGCAGGATTACTGTGTAGAGAAGTAATGAATTAGTTATAGTGCTTTCGTAGTACGTACGAGACCGAATAAATTGTGTCCATGAAAACTCTTAGTTGACGTTTGATCCTACCTGTTTTTAGAGCCGTCAACACTTCCGCTGCCTAAACTATGATTTGCATTGTTAGAGGGGCGCTCTAGACTTTTGTCGTTTTCCCCGCATCCTCACTTTCTTCGTTTCCCTCCTGGTAACCTTCCAGAAGGGCTATAACATTAGCTTTTTGATCTATAACACAGGTCCCTAAACTTGTCTGGCTTGCCGTCTGGTTTTAGGAAAAATCTGATCACCTAGAAATTCAAGTTACATTAAACAATAAACGGAAGGGGAAAAGTTAAGTGGAAGTGGTTTTCCTATCCTCTCCATCCTCTCATTCTAATTATCAAACAAACTTGAATCTTTATTTAAGAATTTAAAACTTCGAAGAGGAGATTGCGTGGTTTTCGGGGGGGAAAAATGACATGACGATTCATATTCCTTCTCGGGTAACAGACCAATTTTGCGCGAACTTTCTATTAGTTTTTAATTTTTGTATCGCCCAATTATTTTAATTGATCGCTGGGGGAGGAGGCAATCCTCAATAATTGTTATTTTGAGAGGGTTCTGCTAGAATTAACTGAAACGTGAGTGACAGCCGGTCGTCAGAGCCGCTTCAGGCCGTGGCTGAGTTGTGAGCTCGCCAGAGTTCGCGGATGGTGGGTGCGCAGCCTCCGTACGGGCGAACGGGCTCGGTGGAATGTCATTAGACGCCTCTCCTCTTCGCGTTCCTTTCCTACCGTGCTCTTTTTATGCCTTTGCTCTCGGCTACCTCACCAACCGCCCGGCCTCCCCGCTCGCGCCTGGCGACCGAGTTTGTAAAAGCAAGGCCTACTTTTTCAAAACACTACTGTGAAACAATGGCACACAGAATTGTTGCAGCATGCATAAATTGTAAACGTAGTTACGCGATTATGGAACTTTTTCCCTCCTAATCTATCCTTATATGAGTGCTATGCGTAAGGTTACTCGGGATGACCCATTGCCAACTACCCGAACACATGGAAGTTTCGTCTTATCGTTTTACTATAATCATCAATCGATATAAAGCGAGATAAGAGTTTGACCATTTGCGCATGTATTATTCTCGGAATTCTTGATCGTATTCTCTGTTGATGACTAACGTGTACCAATTTCATCGTAACCTGCTCAATTGAATTGACAATTATTTTAAATGGTGTTCATTGGCAAACAGCTGCTTTGCTCAACCACTTCAACATTTCAGCGTCTCTTAATTGAAGGTTGTTTTTATCGGCAATATAATAATCCAAACCTACGTAGGTCTTAACATCAGACTGCTGAGATGGATTGTTACTTGTCATTCCTACGGCGGTGAAAAGATGACTGCCGTACGATTATGGACTTCAATGTTCTCGAAGGGTATTTTTCCATTTGCTTTACAATGGTATAAATATCAGGAATAAAAATTAATGCACTATTTCTCCTTGAAGATGATAAAAATACAGACAATTCAATAGAACGTCTTTCTCAATATTTTAAGAGTTCAATGTCTTTCTAAAATAATTAATTTCTCAATAATTTTTAAATAACTTTCGTGGCGCCACAACCGTAAGAACTTGAACCACTTTTATTAGAAAGTATTTGTCATACTGTTTTTTATAATATTCGGTAATTTGTTAATTTCCTAAAGCTTTTAGGGACCTATCAGACTATTTGAAGGTTCTTGTGAACCAATATTTGTTTCAGAAGGGCGCGCATAAAATATTAAGGTCTGATTTGTGCTTCGCCAATCAGTGGAGCCTGGTTCACACAAACAATAATTCATATTTCTCGCTTGGATGCGAGAAACTACACCGCGGTTAGAAACCACATGTGTTTGCCTCATGTATACATTAGAGCGTTGTCAACTTCCTTTCCACCAGCCTGATTCACTGGTTCGTGGCACAAACAGTTCTTGTGGTGGCATTGTGAGGCATATTGGTCATAAAAAAAATTCGAAACAGTTGCAGATCCTATTCCGTTAGTTCTATTTCGTGTTCAGGCAGTCATTCAAACTTCATCATTTTTATGAATTTTAGGTATGTGTGGAAATGTACATGTCTTTAACATAAGTGTTGTGCATTTGGCCCATAAAGCTACGCTGGCACTGGATCGGGACGGCCCGGACGGATGGCAGTTTTTGCGTGGGTCGCGCGCACTAGGACGGGACGGGACGGACACCTCGGACATTGCGCTCCGTGTCTGGTATTGCGTGCGACGGCTTCATAATGTAAATAAAGCAGCAATCGCATTGGGTTCGTTTTTAATGGCTGAAGAAAGGAATAGGCGAGGAGTCGAAGAAAGTCCGAATTCTCTTCTTTTTTCTAAACAGAACGATAATGACAAAAGGGGGACTGCACTTATTATATCCCGACCTAGTGGAAGATGAAAAATTAAATTATTTCAGTTCTTTAAGATGTCTCACGATAAATTTGAAGCTAAATTGGATAGTTTGAAAAAAAATAGATATAAATAAATATGGTAGTAACAGAATTAAATTGAACTAAGAAACGGTCTCATAATTGCATTACTCTAATTCGAAACTTACGAACATAATAGGCACTGTAATTTCCGCAAGACATACAAAAAAAAAAAATACGTTGATTAATGAACTGATAAATTATTCCAAAACAAGGCATAATTTATTCTAAGAAGACAATGCATTTAATAAAACTTAATCTCACACTCTACTACTCGGGATAATTCTGGATCAACACAATTAAATTGGGCGCATCATGATCGCTCCACACGCTTCACATATGACACACCTTGCAAATGCCGCTACAACCATGCCGATGACGTCATCGGCACGTTGGAATGTCCAGAAGATCTTTCCTTGGGAGTTTTTGCGGATCGTCCCGTCCCGTTCCGTCCTTGCTGGCCTAGTGCGCGCACCCTTACGGAAATCAATGTAAACAACTTTTAAAAAATCCAGTGCGCGCTAGGCTTCAATCTATTGATTGTGGTGGAGCGTAAGAAACCACCTATCAAGTTTTGTAAGGGAATATTTAATATAATTATCTGGAACCGCCTTTCTTGAATACAGATAATTACGTCTTATAAAACATAGTTACCCATATTTTAATTTGTCTTTTCAATTAAGGTGATTAAATAAAAAAAATGTCAGGCTTTACAAAAAAGAGTATATTACACTTAGAAAATGTGCATGAAAATTCGGAAACTTTGGCTATCCCTTCTCCCTATGTGCCGGCGGGCGGCAAGGCGTCTCAACGACTGCTCGTCTCCTGCGGGAGAAGGGGGCAGCTGCGGCGAAGGCTGAAGCCGCTGGCACGATGGTGGGGGAAAGGAGGGGAAGGGTGCGTGTGTTCCAATGCGTTAGTTGTTCGGAAGCTCTGCCGACGCCGTCGCGCTGTTGCTGCGTTGCCGTCGGCACTCGTTGCCAAGAGTGTCTCGTGACCGTTGACGTTGTCTGTTCGGCGCCTGAGTACGGCGCACGTTTCTTTAGACTGTTGTCGCCTTCCGGTGTATTCTGTTATCGAGACGCTCCTACGTGCGAAGAGGAGCCAAACATGGCCTTTTCAGAACTATTATTTTGCTTCTCAGCATAAATATTTGACTTGAAGTTGCCTTGTTTTAGGCTGTATCTACACGGAATTGTTAAATACTAGAGACACATGTATTCAAGAAAATATTTTTTTTCTACTATTGAAATTACCGTACTGTCATCTCCTACACTTTTTTGCTTTTGAATTGTGCAATACGAAAATGAAATTTCATTTAACAAAGAAAGAAGAACAGCTGTGATCCTACTTTAGAAACCATTGTACGCGTCGCAAGATCCGAATATGAAATGACACTTCCGATCTGCGGAGAGTTTCTTTCACGTCGTGGTTTGCAGGACGTGCGGAATTTTTTCCTCGTGCGTGTGTCGTGATCTTTTGTTTGTCGGCGACCGCAGCGCTATCTGCTCTCCGCCGCTTTCGTCCGCACTACGCCCCGCGGCGTATTTGCGGTACTCGCAGTGCGCTGGCGCCGTCGTGACTGGTCGGAAGAGAGAGTGCATGTCTTTTTAAGACGGCCACTTCCACTCATAGAATCCGCGAGAAGAGGCTTGTGTATGCCGAGTGATAGACTGTGCAAAGAGAAACGTGATTGGGACGCAGTTCGCACCCAAGATCTGTGCTCGTGTCGCGTGCATTGTGCGTCGCTTGTTTTTTGTGAGCGGCCTGCCTGGGCGCGCCAAGCGTTGAATGATGCCCAAAGCAAATGCTTTAGTTTCTCTGACTGTTTCTTTGTGTGACATTGTTGTGCCGTGACATTTTGTGTTTTTGAAGAAAACAATGCATCGAAGAATATGAAAATGTCGAGTTTGTTGTGTTCGATTTGAAGTTATCTACAAAATGTTTCTAACAGAAGGCGACTACAGAAACAACCGTGATAGCGCTTTTCTTTTCCTATAATTTCAAATGCCAATACACGTGCCCAGTGTTGTAAATTAAATGGGCGGTATTTTTCTTAATTGTGAAATTTTGTGACGTGGAATTCGGAGTGTGTTCTGTGGAACACAATTATTGCTAAATTGAATTAAATTTCGTTAAGTGCGATTTAACTGTCGAAATAAAAAAAATTGGACATATGTAAACTGGTAAGCTGATGGGCATGACAGTAATTGAAGTTAAAAGAAGTTTGCTACATCATCTGTGCTGTGTCAGTGCCATAATTTGTTGCATTGAAGAAATTAATTCTTAGAACCTGAATATTACATCACAGTTTTTAATGAAATCCTGTGACTTTGGGACCTCGTGGTGATTTAATCGTTTTATGATAGGTGACTATCAGAATTCTGAAATCGTCGGCATTGTTTTACAGTTGACGTATGTTTATTGCTAGTACGCATATAAAGCATTGAATATTTTCAGAACCGGCGCATCGACAATTTGTTCTGTGGTCTCCTTGGTGTATGGCCCCAACTGTCAACCGAGTTCAATTGAGGGTAATTGAAGTGTTGATGAAAAGGACTCTTCAATTCAGTCACCATTGTGGAGAAATGGGTATCTGTTTTATTATATACCAGGCATTTTAGAGCGAGCTTTGTGTTGCCAGCTTCAATTTCAGAGATATCCAGTGTTTTGATGCCATTGATTTGCCATTGAGAAAACTTTTCCATCCGCCTATTTCGTTCACAAACAAGTGTTGTAAGTGTGACTTTCGAGGACTCCTTTCGCCTTCGGCGTGGATTGTTTGTGGCTCAGATCAATTTTGTCGAAAGTGCTAAAATTTGAGAAATAACACCAGGAGAAAAACGTATAAATGATGAGTGAAAGTTAGTACATGCCTATTGATTCCAAGACGCTACTTGTTCATAAAATTATGAGAATGCTAATCTCAAGGTAATTAATCAACACTAGTGTTCTGTTATTCGGAAACAACGTACTGATTAACTGTCTCTAATGAACAGCTGTTTCTTTGACTCTGCCAAATGACGTGTGCGAAGTTTATTCTGAAAGTGAAACTAATTTAAAACCATCGAGTACTTTGTTACGAGAGGGAACACAAAGGAATCGACAAAACGGTGTGTTCCATGCTTCATGCATCTCCGTTTCGCGACTTGGAGACAGAAAACTTGAAGTAGACTTGAAGAAGAAGATGATGCACCACGCCGTGCAACCGTCGCCGTCGCAGCAGCCACAACAACAGTCCCAGTCTCCTGGGCCCGCCGCTTCGCCTTTGCTGTACGGGCGCCCCGAGGGCCCTGACCTCTTGCTTCTCGACAACAACAACTCTGCCGCCAGCAAGATGTATTCCGTGCCGACCGCTCAGCAGCAAGTGTACGCAGAGTACGGCCTCATGTTTCAGCCTCAGGTACAGTGCACCGCAGCATATCCTCTCCTCTTCTAGAGCACACGGGACGCGGGGAGGCGGTTGTTGAGAGTCTGCGACAAGTTTAGTTGGTAGATCAATCGAATATCGGTATTGAGTTTATGCATAATCGTTGATTTATTAATGAATGATCTATATACGTCATGAGTCGGTAAAATCGCCCTACAATGTTAAATGCCACTTTTGTGCTTGCTAAGTCTCATAGAACTGTATATAACGTTAGAAAGTGCATATGTGATGTAAACCTTAACAACCCCCCCAAAATGGGTATTGCACTAATTACAGATAGGAAACGTAACATGATGAAGGTTTGTTCGGAATTTTCAACAATCCATGAATTGTCATGTCCCATTGGTGTGTGAAAACACGCCACGAACGTTTTTAACCGAGCTTGCAAAGTTGGACGTGTTTTCGGGCTCTTGCATCGTCCGTGTTCTTCACTTTCGTCGACCGGCGAAGCGCCTGCCGTTCCGCCATTTACCTCTTCACAAGCCTGTTCCCACACAACCAACTAACTCATCGGCTACGGCCGCCTGCGGTGTTGTCCATCTCAGGACTCCTCCGAAGTGACACGTTCGCTTCTCTTGAACAAAGGAGCTTTTGTTGGTACATTTCAGTGAACATTGTTTTCAATTGTGACTTGCGTTGCCTGCCGTTTGAATGTGTAAATTGTCTCCAGTAAGGACCTGTGTTAAAATTCGATGAACACGGAACATCGACACAGAGGTATGCAATGCTTGAGACGAAACTCAGCTTGCAGCTCAACGATACCAGCATCGTATCGCATCGTATCTTCTCAGGTTGCCGGCGCTCCAAGAATGGCCCCTCGATCTCCGCGGTCGTCTGAATCCCCTCCACGGACTGCCGACCCCTTGAATGAGCCGCCGCAGTTTCGGCAACGGCTGCTTTCTGCAACAAAGCCCGGGCGTCAGGGCTTCGAGGGGGACGCTGAGCTAGGCACAAAAGGCCGCTAAGCTAAGCCCGACCCGGGACACGAGGGAGGAAGTCCAGCAGGTATCGGGACAGGTAACTCCGCGAGTCGGTTGGGAGACAGCCCCTGTTCCCCTCCTCAGAGCTCCACGGTTCTCGGCATCGCTCCCGGTCTCTTGCTGGACGAGCCTTTTACAAGCTTGTTTCTTGCTTCTGAATGTGAAGGAGAGTTCAGAACTGATGCCGGAAGAACGTAGGGGATTGAGAAGGATGATTGCATGGATTCACCTGATTCAATACGCCAGACCCACGCTCCGAACGTGGGAGTGAGAAAGTTGAAGTGATAGGGTCTTCAGTAACAAAGATTTAGTACTGCAAAATTAGCGAGTGTATACACTATGTTCGATGTAAATATTGAGTGTTCTTCAGATTTATTTAAACCTGGCGTATCACCCAAAAACCAATTGTTTTTAACCTAGAATGCTAGCTTACCCCATGGAGTGTTGGCAGTAATGCTATGTCAATTCTACAACCTAGTGGTATGCAGGAATTGTAGCTTCTAATGCCTGAGACACCATAGTAATTTACGTAATAACGTTGGCAATTAAACGGTTTTGCTTGACTGAAAAGATTCGACGGCACATCATTTATAGGTTCGAGAAACTTCGATCGTTAATTCAGGAAATTGTAGAATCCGGACATTTGACGATTTTGTAACGTAACGCTGCCGAAGACATTCGAACACTGCGGAGGAGTCGAGTGATTCGGTAGATCGTTTTTTCATTCTCGCATATTAGGTCAAGACGTGACACGAAGCGGAGCTGTATTATTTTCAAAAACTGGAACTGCTCCTGCTTTGTCACTCTTGCGGAGAACTCTCCTGCGTTCTTCCTTTTTCCATTTTCAGTGTTCATTAATTCCGGTCTTGTGTTTAGTTGGTAATTTCGTTGGAAGTTTGTTAAAATGATTTGAACATGATAAAACTATTTATTAATAATTTCCAGTTGCTGCATTGACGTCCCTTTGTCAGTTTCTCCCCTTCGCTTGATATTTTTAAAGTTTTATTCGCAAGAACCATTCCGCTGCTCTTATATAACTTTTGGTACATTCATTATGAGTTTTGGCAAAAGGTAATACAGCTATCCCAATTTCAGAAACTTCTCAATTGAACCACGGAACTTTCTAGTCATTCGATCTCTCATTGTTGACTGAATTTAATTTGATCAATGAAACGTAATATCAATATGTATAAGAAATATGAAACTACACCTTTATGTTGAGGTCATAATTTCATACATGTTAGAGATATTTTCATTGAATGAGGACCTAAAGCACGTGTAGGGAAGCTAGTTCAGAACTTTAGCTGGCCTTCAAATTAGAATATTTGAGATTTATGCGTCTCAGTGTTTTACTGCATTAACGTCTGTAAATGTTTTCCCTTCTATTATGTAGCAAATGTCAGTTAATGTGTACGTTCTTTCATTTTTCTAAAACATCTGTTAATTTCCTTTTTTATATAAAACTGTTTTTGTTTATCGCATATGTGCGGTGGGCAAAATATAAACAGTTATTTATGAATTTCGTTAATGGGTATGTGCAACAAACTTTGTTATATCTTATTTTTAATTTTGAACTACCGTTAAACATGTAATTGCGCTAGGGTGTTTTTGTTATGAAAAGAAAAATATGTAGATTTTTTCTTGCCGAACGTGAACTGCGGATCGTCTATAATTTAATATAATAATTATTATAAATAATAATAGTAATAATAATTATTATAATTAATATTGCCATTATTACTCTTCACCGTTAATCAGATGGTAGTTACGTTATAACTAATGTTTAATTTCCAGGAATTAAGTATCTGACGTAAGTGCCCGCCTTTTGGGAGCTGCGTCATTTGCTGTTCCTTTTGCACTGGGTAAAATCGTATTGGGAGCAAATGATCTTGTCTCTCCGGGTGATGCCGCGTTGATGGCTGTGGTGGCGACTTCGTCTTCTTGGGAGGTTATTCCTAACATTCGTATGCTACATTGTTCATTGAATAAAGTGATTGGTTTGTGTTCTGTGTGTTATTATATGAGTTATTTTTTATCATATTAAGCAATTAAGAGAGTGAGTATCTTGCATTATAAGATTTGTAACGGGTATCGTAGTGACAAGTTTAATATCAGTGTCAGCTTCAAATACATTGTAATTGATGGGATAATACTCTTCTCAAGTACTAATTTCTGTATTGCTCAGAGAGAGAATATCCATGGACATTGCTTTCATTTATAATACAAATTTGGTTAAAAATATAATGTTTTAATACACTGGTGTGAAGTTTAGGAACACAGTTGTGTATCTCTAAGGATAGAAAATATAAACTTTCTGTAAAGCTATGCGAATACTATTTCCTGGCAAATAAAAACGAAATAGTACGAGTTCGTATATGTCTCTCTAGTTATCTTACTTTCTATTTCGTTTGAAAGATTTGAGAGATTAAATAAGTTTGCCGTGAAAAAAATCACTGGGACATCTTTTTTTCATTATTAGGGGCACGATGCGTACTGGCAGTGCCCGTGCAGTGTTGATGTTATTTGCCAATTTTCGTGGGGCCCGAGTATATCAAGGCAACTTTAACACAGCTTTCCCATTTGGTGTGAATTGGTGCGGGCCACTTTTGAAACGATGCAGACCCCAGGGGCAGGATGCTAATGTTATTCTGAAGCTGTTTCCCAGAAGCGCCCCTTAGCCCTCGCAGCGAGACACGAGGGCCAACTCTGGGAATCTCCATGGCCACAGGTTCTGCGCATTACACGCGTGAATACGTATTCAGAGTTATGCAATTTACCTATTTTTGTGTATTTTTTACAAGTTGTAATAATACAATTTTTTTTATATTATTGTATAATAGTAATGTATATGAAAATCGATATCACAAACCTTTCTTCACCAGCGTTCTCACTATATAAGGTTTGTGAGGTTAGCTTGACGGATATAGAACGATACATGATTCTATATTTACATATTTGTTTGACTAGTGGGAACTAGGGATGCGGCATCGACAACATCATCGGTTTCAAACCATCGATGTTTTTTAAACAGGATAAGTAAACATGAAATACACGCGCAGAGATCATTTAATTTGAAAGTGGGCTCGTTTATTAACTTTTACTTGAGATAAAGCAAATTTGACAAATCATTAGTATAAATAACAAAATTTTTGTTAGTTGATTCGGTAATTAAAAATAATGCAGACTTCGTTATTGAAGAAAAATCGATAATTTATTTCCTTTTCATTACTGGCCACCTTAGTCTGAAGAATATTCAATGTATGGACATCTGGAAATTATTATAGAACTTTGTTATGATAGTCCTTTTTTCATTGAAAAGACACTCGACCATCGAACACTCATCAGTCGTTTATGTCCGTTTTCCCGACTGTCAGTCGGTCGGTCAGTTTGCCAGACAATGTCAGGCGGTCGGTTGGTCTGTTTGCCCGACAGTGTCGGCCCGTGTAATAAAAACTATTTGCAAAGTAAAATCAGCTACACTTTTTGGGTATTACAGTTCATCATGCTTTTCGTTATGGAATCGTCTTACTGCCGCGGGAACATGGAAATCGATAATTTGAATAACTACATTCTTCACTGACCTCTAAAAAAAATTAGAATTCTCTTTAAGAATTATACAGTTGAATGCTAACTAATTACATTACTATCATTGTTAAAATCAATATTAGTCTCTATTTTGATGCTCTGTATAGTCTAGATACAGGTCAGAAAATATTTTACTTGACACTTACACTTGTGAAACAATTTTTATTATTTTAATGTCACCTGTCAATGTGTGGTAAAATGATGTATATGTATATATTGTATGGGGATTTTTGTAGTGAACCGTTTTGTTGACACGTGATGAATATGGGCACCACGCCAAGTATTATAGTTACAGACATTAGAAGAAAATGTGCGCTCTCTTTTGAGTAAGTCATTTCTGACAAGACCCACTGACCTGTAAAAGGTCGAGGGGGAAAGCAATGCTAGAATTAACAGCTTTTATATTGCAAGACTTACAACTATCGCGTGAGTGCGATTTGCTTTATATTCATACGAGTGTACAATTGTTTTCTGTACTATAAAAGTCTCGGATCTATAGAAAGCGTTTTCCCAGAATATTTTGCCATATTTCAGGCGGGAATTGCATTCGCGAAATATGCACATTGACCAGTATAGTGACTAATATAATGAACCTAATTTTGTGTTCAATTCATTTAATTGGACGTTCCATTTAAGCTTAGACTAAACTGAGAGACCCAAAAATATTTTTACCTTAAAATAATGAATTGCATATCGTTAATTTTCATGTAGTATACAATTGTTTATTTGAAATGAAAAACTGCATTGAAACAAATTTCCCTTCGTTTGCCATTATTTGTTATTATGAAACCAATTTGAAACATCTAATTTTGTAATATTTACAGTTTCTTTATTGTAAAGAAGATTCGTATCATCCTCAAAGAGAACTGTTCTTCCGTGTCGAATCGAATCGTTGAGGGAAATACGTTTAAATTGGAGAGTTTTGTGGGGAACAGGAACAGGAATTTAAATTCAAGTGTTTTGTGTAAATGAAGGAAAAGATTAATCAAAAAGATGTTCAGAAATTAATATATATGAAGAGCATGGATAGGAGTAAACGAAAATTGTACGAATGTTGACCTGGGGAACGATGCAGTGCTTTGTCAATGTGAAGTGCAAAGATTGAAGTCCCGCAAGGGCAAATAAATAGGAAACAATGAAGAGAACATGTTTAGAACAGAAACCAATTTTCTTCACAGAATTCTACGTATCAGATGTTTTCAGAAAAAACAGGTATGATATAGGTCAAATTGTAGAACTGATATACGTAATGGAAAATATGCGGGTAAGGAGTGCGGTCCAGATTTTTTGGGGGAGGGTTGGTAGATTTCTGGAAAGTCAATTACATAACTTCCCAACAACAATCTACCACTTAGCTTTTTAAATTTTAATTTAATTTAATTTTTTGATATATCGTTCGT